CAATAAAGTTTAATTGCTGCATTCTCAAACTCCAGCCTTAAAACCTATATTGACCTCAACCTCCCCAGGTCTCTCTCTCATGCCCAGAGAAGTTTTCCCAGGCTCTCTTACCTTGCTCATTTACTAATCAGTAAACACTCACTCTTTGTCTGTCCTCACCAGTGTCCTCTGTTCAATCTTGACTAGAGGGTCTCAAGAGCTCAAGGCCTTAGGTGCAGGGCCGCACCTACTGGAAATCCCAGTGATTTCCCAATGATCTCCAGTTGGTGGAGAAGTAGACAGTGCTTATCTGCCTGTGGTGCTGGAGATAGACTGGTAGAAACAGACTGACGGGACCCTGGCCTTCCCTTGTCAAGTGACAAGATGACATGGAGAATAAATGTTCTGTAAAGGCCCCACAGAGGGCGATAAGCATACCAAGGACTGGATGTGAATTCAGAAACGACCTTACAAATACCTCAGGCTCTGACTGACTGGCTTTCAGGCTCTGCACAAGTAAAAATGATGATGAAGGCAGAGTTGTAACCTGGTGGAATGTTGATGACATGTTTTGACACAGAAAGAGAGCCCATCTACAAAGATTGACATATGGTTTTCTTAGTTCTAGAAATTTTCAGAAATCCATGATGAATCACTAGCTAATCCCTAAGCCAATCAAACAGAGACTTTAGCGGACAGAAATAAAAAAGAATACTGATTTTACAAAAATTAGATCAGAACAACTAGTTAAACAAACAATAGCAACAAAAACAAGGAACTACTATAAATCTTGTGAGAAGAATCTACTTTCCAACATTTGCACATAATAATATTCAGTGTCCAGTTTCAAACAAAAATGTGTAAGTTATACAAACAATACAATTTGATGCATACACAGGGGAAAATTAGATACAGTCTGGGAAATGAGGCTTACTATAAAAATACTTTAATAAATTGTGTTAAATAACTTCAATTAGTTAAAGGAAACCATGAGCAAATAACTAAAGAAAACCAGGAAGACACTGACTTATCAAATCAGCATGTACAGCAATTGGGCAAGAGAAAGACATAAAAAGGTATCCAAATTGGAAAAGAAGAAGTAAACCGATCACTATATATATATGGCATGATAATAAACATATAAAATCTTAAATATTCCACTAAAAAAATCAACAAAATAATCACTATAATAAAATGGCAGGGTATAAAATCAATTTACAGAAACTGCACTTCTATATGCAAGGGATAAGCTAGAAGAGAAAGAAATTGACAGAATAATGCCATTCACCATTGTAATAAAAAGAATTAAATATCTAAGAATAAACCTAACAAAGGAAGTAAAGGAAATAGGTCCAGACAATATAATACATTATCAAAAGAAAGAGAAGACACACAAAAATTCAAATATATTCTCTGCTCTTGAATTGGAAGAATTAACATTGTTAAAATGACCATCCTGCTGCTGAGGCAGCTAGTGCTATTATCATATTCTTATCAATATGTAAATTATTTATTGTCAAAATTAAGAACATATGTAGTTAACTGTTCACCCAGAACTGCTTGCTTCCCTGACCATGCTCACTTTTAAAGAAACAAGTTTTTCTAATCTCCTGACAAAACTGTGAATTTTTCCTCTATAGCTTGATGTTTAGGATTCTGTACATTTTAATTTTAACAAGTTATACTTTATATTGCATTATATTACAAAACCCAATAAACACTATCCTAATTGGTAAAATTTCTAAAACCATAGGTACATTTTGTGGTAGTAAATATGAGTTTTACATGTTGGTCAAGACATGTAATGTGCTATACGTCTGGATTAATAGGATTTTTTAAATTTTCTAAAAATGGGTTAAAAAAAAAACTTCCATTTTCACCTTGTTACTTAAAGAGTGCTGCCAGAATTTTAATAGTCACAATTTACTAAATACAAAAGCACTTAGTAAAAATGGCAAAAAGTCACTGCATGTGATACCAACAATCACACTCTAAAATTCCTCTTGAATATCCCCCACCCCTTTGTCCTGAATATTTATTCATCCATTTAACAAATAACTCATCAAGCACCTAGTCTGTGCTAAGAACTAGCTGAGGTACTGGGAATAGTGGAGTGAACAAAGCTGACAAAAGCTTTGTTTAGTGTGGGGGAAGAAAACTAAAGCAGATAAAGAACTTGATAACATGTCACGAGATGTGCCATGTTCTCTGAAAAAGCAAAGACTGTCTGATAGGGCCAGGGATCGCTACTGTAGGTAGAATGATCAGACAGTGCAGCTCTCATTAAGGGATTCTTGAGCTGAATATAAATTCAATCATTCTCTTTTATTTTGTGTAATGACATGGAGTAATAGGAAATATAATGTGATGAAAGACAAGAGAAACAAGTAGCCCTAGAGGAGCCCGTCAACCCAGACGCTAGAGAGGGCTCAGGTAAAATTAAATGTAAAAAATTATTATTGGCAATTTGAGGTCATTCACTACAGTGAAGTTGAGACAATATTAAATAGCAATGAGATAAGCATTAAGTTATGAGGATAAGGAAGCAAAATAAAGAAGTTGCTGAAGAAGTTTACAGCACATCTGAAGCAGTAAATAGAGGCTATCTCAGGAAAGAGTATGAAACACAGACGTATTTTGAGATAGGGAGACTTGAAGTTTTTCTACGATGAGGGGCCCTGCCCATCAGACCAGTGTGAACAAGTCCCTGAAGCCCTGTGGGCAGTGAGTTACCTGCCACTGGGTGCTGCCCACAGACTAGGATTGCCTGCAGGTGTCCACCCCTGGACATTTCCTGCTTAACCTTGAGAGGGTGTCAGCCCTATTCCCAGTGCAATTGATAAACCCTCTCAGGGGTCTGAGAGACACTAGAGGGCAGCACCTGGATCAGGCAGCTGAGGATCCCAATTTATAGAGCCCCCTGTCTGAAAGATAGCAAGGACAGGATACTGCTGGACCAGGAGCCGAACACTGGTACTAGAGCTGAGAGAGCAGAAGTAGCTGCCAAAATTGAAAGCTTAAGAGCATCTTCTAGCCCTTCCTCAAGCAGCAAGCAGATTTGCTTCGGGAGAGGTGAGATGGTAGCTGTGTGACTTGGTCTGCAATTGTTTCCTGATGTCTCAGTTTGACTCTGTGTCTTACCTTGGACTTGCATGGTAAACTGTTCTTGTTTTCTTCATCTTTAGTATCTCTCTGCTCTCAGGCTCTTTGCTTTTCTAGGAGCTAAACTCTGTTATTAGAAAACAGGAAAGAAATGAAGCTAAACTCTAAGACTGTCAGTGAATAAATAATAGGTCAACCCCAAATAAAAGACAGGTGAATCAGAAGCACCCCAACAACTCAAATTAATATTCAGGAGGATATTATCCCACTTTTTAAGCCCCATCCAAAAACAGAGGGAAAAAACTCTGCTTGGCAACCTTTACTACAAGCAGAGATCCTGAGATGGTAGAAGAACACAGACTTGGGAGTCAGCATAAGCTGGTTTAAATGCCTGCTGTGTCATGTCAGCAGAAGCAAGTCATCTTACACATGGAGGTGCATAGTATATAGTCAATTGTATTGGTTTTTCTGGGGCTGTATAACAAATCACCAGACTCATTTCATTATTTTTTGCATTGATGGTGAGGGATGGAAACTTGACCTTCCACTAATGCATCAAAACAAAGGCAGAATTTTGATCAGCAATATTCATTCCTGAATAATTGAGAGTGCAAGGAACTATACTCAGATAAAGATAACAAAAAGAATTTTGATATGCAGGAATCTAAAAGCCTACTGCCAATACTCACCGTTTTACTCAATAAGTAGAAGTTATTTTACAGCAGATCAAGACTCAACAAAAACAAGAATGTAAGAATGAGGAAGACCACGCAGTACAGGGCCAAGAATAGCCATAAAATTACTTCCATGGAAAAGCCAAGTGCATGCAGTAAAGCCTACTCTAATAATAGAGGAGGAAACAAATAGTGTTTCTCAAAGGTGCTGATCTATTGACTATGATATAGTGGAAAGAGTGCTGGAATTAAATACAAAAGAGTAAAACTGGGTAGAAGTCTAAGTACTTAATAGTATTTTCAATGTAGGATTCTTACCTAAACAAATCATTCAACTTATTACCTCTTATGTGAATAATAACACTTAATTGGTAACAATTCATTAGTAACAATCATTAATGACAATTAAATGGCAAGGCATGTGCCTGAAACTGTCTACCAACTGTAGACACTGTTGAAAAGAAAATCATGTCCAACAATTAACAACAATATTAGAAAAAAATATTTTTGAAAAAAAGAAGGAAAAAACATAGTCAGGATTCTCATTGTGGTTATTTATTTCTTCCTGGAGATTCCAAAGAGTGTGGTCAATAGTTCTGCCCTCTAACTTCACTTCTTGAAAGTGTAGGTTTTTAATAATGTATACGTCTTCTGCTTTGTGTCCAAGCTTCCTGTATGTAAAAATATTTGCCCAGAATTTCAACCCCAAAATACAGAAAATCCTCATTTTAATCACCTAAGAATCCTTGCATTACAATATCAGATGGTTTCACTTATAGGTGGAATATAGAGAAGCCAAAGGGTCTTAAAGACAAAACTTGCAAGAAGACCACAGAACTGAGGCATACAGCAGGGAGTAAGGGCAGAGGCCAAAACTGGGGAGCAGAGAGCCCAGGACATGTGGTGGGGGGGTCACGGGTGCTATGTGGTAGGAGAACTACAGGGACTACAGCTGAGGAGGGAATTAAATATGATCTAAAAATGAACAACAATGTAAGAAAATAAACATATTTGATTATTTAAAAAAAAGACAAGAATCTTTATCTTAGAATCCATTTCAGCCCTTCTGTTGTTCTTATCTGAATTCTACCCAGATTCTCAAAGGGCTTAAGAATGCACTATGTTAAAAGAGTTGAGCTATAGTTAGCAACTCTTTTTCCCTACACAAACTAAGATGCTGGGTAGAGCTTAACAGCCTGCTTTTCTTTCTTCACCCACAGATAGATGCCGAGAAGACCTCCTGCTATGGATACCTCCCTGAGCATAACCAATGACTCGGACTTTCAGGTGTCCGAGTTCATCCTGATGGGGTTCCCAGGCATTCACAGCTGGCAGCACTGGCTCTCCCTGCCCCTGACTCTGCTCTACTTCTTAGCTCTCAGTGCCAATCTCCTCATCTTGATCACCATCCACAATGAACCCACCCTTCATCAGCCCATGTATCAGTTCCTTGCCGTCTTGGCCATTGTGGATGTTGGCCTCGCTACCACCATCCTTCCCAAAGTGATGGCCATTCTGTGGTTTGATGCCAAAGCCATCAGCCTTCCTGAGTGCTTTGCTCAGATCTACGCCATCCACACTTTTATGTGCATGGAGTCAGGCATCTTCCTCTGCATGGCTGTGGACAGATATGTAGCCATCTGCTACCCTCTTCAGTACCCCTCCATCATCACTCAGGCTTTTGTGATCAAAGTCACACTGTCTATGATACTCAGGAACTGCCTCTTCACCATCCCAGTACCTGTTCTGGCTGCCCAGAGACACTACTGCTCCAGGAATGAGATTGACCACTGCCTGTGCTCCAACTTGGGGGTCACCCGCCTGGCCTGTGACAGCATCACCGTTAATAGATTTTACCAGCTGGCTTTAGGTTGGGTTATGGTTGGGGGTGACATGGTTCTGGTCTTTGCTTCCTATTCTCTGATTATTCGCTCAGTGCTGAAGCTGAACTCTGCTGAGGCAACGTCAAAGGCCCTGAGTACCTGTAGTTCTCATGTCATCCTCATTCTGTTTTTCTACACAGCTATTATTGTGGTGTCTGTCACCCACCTGGCAGGAAGAAGGTTTCCCTTGATCCCAGTTCTCCTCAATGTGCTGCATAGTATCATACCCCCAGCCCTTAACCCCATGGTATATGCTCTTAGGACCCAAGAGCTGAGAGTGAGCTTCCGCAGGGTGCTTGCTCTGGGTTAGCATGTGTACAGGAAGTGAGACTATTACAAGAGGTATTACAAAATTTGCACAGGCTTTGCAGTACAGTAGCCTCAGTGCAATTATACAGTCTCCCCATTGTTAAGATCGTAATTCAAATTAATTCACTTATTTTGTACAGCATATACAATGTGCAGAACATTGTTGTACATATTTCACAAATATCACCTCATTTAATTGCCATTGCCATAGCAAATCTAGAAAGCAAGTGTCACTGCTATTTATACAGCAAGAAAATTTAAAAGTTTGCCACAGAGTGAGGTTAGAACCCAGTCAGTCTCTGAAGTCCCTACACTTAATCCCTTCTCTCTATTCAAGCTCACAGCTAATTTTTTTAATAAATTGAGATGACAATTAAAAGGAAGAATATCTTAGTGAAATTATAAATCATTTCTCTATTGAATTTTCCAGTCTAATGGCAAATACAGTCATTTTAAAGTCTTCTTAAAAGAGTGACTCTAGAAAACCCTCATTGTCATATTATTGTAAATCAAGAATTTACCATTTTACAAATCCTTTTCCAATGCAAATCAATTGGCATTAAAGCCCAAGGAAGACTAGCTCAACATTTTTATTCTTTAATATTCAAAATTATTGAAAATTCTCTAAACAAGTAAATCCTGATGATTACGGGAGTATAAGTCCTAGGGCTGATGGCAGTTTAAGTGATACCAAAGTTCTCTAAAATTTCCCTACAAGAAGACCATTTAATTTTTTGAACTGTTGGGGGAGGTGGAGTAAAGGGCCATACCAATGAGGGTGGAGGGAGTTGCCAATATCACTTTTATTTCAATGCCAGAGAATAGAGCAGCAATGGTAGGATATAGGTCCAAGACAACATGTAGATAAGGCTGTGAGACACTCCTAACCCATGTCAATATAGTAGATTAGGGAGGGAAAGTCTCACTTCTATCAGTACACTTGGAAACCTAAGTATGAGAATCTTAACTCAAAAAATTGAATCATCCTTGCTTAATAGAGTGAGTTAGGTAGCAAGGGCTTTATTAGTTATTTATGCATACTTATTATTAACAAGACAGAATGTTCTCACCTGTTTTTAGCAGTGATACATAAACAAGACAGAGGCTCTGGCTACTGATAATTTACACTGCACTGACAGACAGATTGCATAGCCCGTTCCTCTTTCCTTTTAGTGTTTATCACGCCTATGATGATTTTCTTTGCTACATTATCAGTTCAGTTTTCTCAGCTCAGAAATTTAGCTTTTATTCACACAGAGGGAATCTGAAGAACATTATTATTTGATTGATTGAGTCATGAAAATCTTTATTCTATTTTAAAATATCATGGAGTGGGAATATATGGCAAACTTTACAAGCTGTTCAATGGGTTCTAATGAAAAAACAGACCAATTAATCCCTTGCTTTTATATTATCACTGTTAACACTGTTAACTATTAAAGCCACCAGATTTTGAGTGTGAGCTATCTACCATGTCTGCATACACTCATTTATTCCTACCAGCAGCCCCTCTCCTCAGCTTACCAGAATCTAAACACAGCTAAATAAATGGCAGAAATAAGCTCTTCATATACAGTAGGTGTCTGGCTGCCACACAGCACACATGTACTGTGTTATGCCTGAGGCTCATTAAACAATATTATTGTTGAGATGACTAAACTGAGTAGTGTGTAAATTGGGCAGATCTCTTCCTGTTTTTGTTTTAATTTACATTTTTTAAATCACTAGGTGGTTTCACTTTTTCTTTTTTTGACACTAAGGTGTTTTTACCATCTAAACACAGGAACTTGGTCTTTCCTTCTTGCCTTTGTAACAGTCAAAAGAGAAATACTGACCACTTTGACAACCTTAAATGGGACTCCAAGAGCATCACAAACAGCGTGACCTTTGTAGCCAAATCCAGCAACCAATAAAATTCAAGCGTCCAAAAACTGTGATCTTTTTCCTGTACTAATAGGCTACTTGAACACACTTGGGGGATGACAGCTTTTGGCTGATTGGCTCTAACTCCCACTCTGCCACACAACTCCCATTGCATGGGAAGCACCTCCAAAAGGAATGGCTTGGAAGGCAAGGCCTAAATAGCTTTCTGTACCGTTTATCATGCCGCTTCTGACCGTCTGGCTTCTGAGCTTGCTGGCAGTATGAAGACTGCAGCAAATCTCTGGCAAATCTCGGTCACTCTGTCCAATTCTTCCACAGTCTTTATGCGAAAGAAAAAAATCCACCACCCTTAGATATCTTAGACAGATGAAATATTTTACATGAAAAAATGGTAGAATTGGAGGCCTTACTGATGGCACCATCAGTTGCCAAGGGATTGTCTCAGCACTAAGAAATTATCAGCAGGCACTGCAATATGGATTTAATTCCCAGCTGGCCAGGGAGTTGACCCATATGGCACAACAGACCTTTTCTGTCTCTCCTGCCGCTCCCCTCAGCAGTGTGTTTCAGTCAATCTGCCTGTCTGCTCCCCACTTTGTCACTGGTGAATCCTCTAACCGCCCACCCACCTCTGGTCTACACCCCAGCTTTTGTATACATTAATAAACTTTAAAAAAAAAGATTGGGCCCTAGTGGCACAGCGGACTAAAGCACAGCACTAAGAAGCTGAAACCACTTTCGCATGAGTTGGATTCTCATCTGCCCCGGAAGTGACCACATGGCGTGGCAGACGTCTCCTGACCCGCCCGCTGCTCCCCTCAGCAGTGTACTTCGTCGATCTGCCTGTTCTGTTCCCCATTCTGTCTCTGGTGAAGTCTTTCGCCACCCCTGAGTCTCTGGCCTGTACCCCAGTTCTGTATGCACAAATAAATAAATCTTTAAAAAAAAAAAGTTGATTACTCAATCAATTTAATCAAATTGTTTTAGCATTCACTTTATTTTAAATATTGTTTGCTATGAAATATCTGAAATGGTAGTAAAGGTAAAATAATAGCCAAGTAAACTTGTCTTTGGCAAAAAGAAAAATAAATGACTAGTACTTAATTGTCTTAACAAAAATAGAAAAAATGTCCTGTATGTTCTTTATAAATAAAACATACATGATCCAGTTTCAGTTTCTGTGAGTTTTTGTAGGATAAATAGATTATCAGGCTTTTAAGCCACTGACCTCTGTGGTTATCTCCTATGGCCTTGAATGCAGGAGGCGCTTGGAAGTGTGGGGCATACGTGCCTGATGGTAGACACCTGGAGGATGGTGTAAGCATGCTTAAGTGGGCACACCTGGGCCTGGAGGCAGGGGCTATTCAGCGGTGTCACCCTGATGGAAAAAAGCTATGACATGGTGCTACACGAGGACCAGAGACTAAAGAGTTATAGAGGACAGACTGCAGCAGAGAATGGTTACAAGAGACCACAAGCTGATGCCAGAGAGAGCTGGGCTTGCCAGTCTCCTGCCCACCTCCTCGCAAGCTGTTCTGCACCTGGTTGCAGGCACTATGCTTTTCTGGGGTTTTTTTGTTTGTTTGTTTTTTGTTTTAGTTTGTTTTTTAAACTCATTGGGGAAAAAAGAAATGGAATAGATATTGAAAAAAGTCAGAGCAATGAAACAATCTGAATATGATCTGGTATCAAAGTGGTACAGTTGATTAATATATCATGAGCATTTTGAACAGATGCTCCCAGAATCATCAACTTACAGGAGAATTTAATAAGCAAATAAAACTCATTATATAGCAAAAAGAAATTTTTTAATAGTCATTGTGTAAACTTGGAGGAGAAAACAGTATTTTGACCCACGTCACTCAGCTGAATTTCTTTTCATTTTTAAAAAGGTTTCTTTATTCATGCATATAAGAGCTGGGGTATGGGGCAGAGATGTGGAGGTGAGACATCAGCAGAGACCGAGTGGGGAATGGGGGACAGAACAGGCAGATTTACTGAAATACATTGCTGAGGGGAGTAGCGGGTGACACAGGAGAGGTCTGCTGTGCCCTGTGGGTCACCTCCCTGGCTAGGGATAGAGCTCATGCTGCAGGGGCTGCTGATAACTTCATAGTACTGAGACTTAGCCCCTTGCACCACCAGGGAGACCCTCAACTAAATTTCTTCTGGGGAGGTTGTCTTAATAACATTAAACATACAATTTTTAAAATCCAGATAAAAGTTAAAGCACTGTTCAGCTTCCAAATCATTAGAAAAAAAAAATACAAAGCCCAATAACAAGCAGGAATTTAGTTAATGTTATAAGGGGAAAAAAAGTTAATTCTTCAACTGTATTATGAAGCCATACACATGATAATTTTAAAACTAAGGCTCTTCTAGAAAGCAAAAAGGCAAGAATACTTCATTTCCTCCATCGTAAGCAGGGAATCCAGAAACGTTGCCAAAAAAAGGAATATTCATAACAGCATTTTTATGATAATGAAATAAGTGCTAATAACCAAAAATGCTGAGTCATAAAGGGCTGCCTGAATGGTTGAATAATAAGGAGAAAAAGCTAAACCAAGCTCATAATTGAGTTCTACATGAGCACCATGAGTAATAACAATTATATAACAGTGCTGAGATGATTGAATTCAGCATGAATACCATGTGTAATAACTAGAACAGAGGCGACATTAAATAAGCCCACAGTTGAGTTCCACATGAGCCAAGATGTGTAATAACTGAAACAGAGCTTATGAAACTTGAGCTCACAAGTGTAAGGAATTCATCAGAGCTGACTATAGTTGACTTACAATAGAGTTCTACCTGAGCAGAATGAGTATTAACTTTCACAGAGTTGACCTTAGTTGAGATACAGTAGGATTCTACATGAACACCTTGTATAATACCAGAGATGACAGTACTTGACCTTACCATAGACTTCTACATGAGCACCAGGTGCAAAAATAACATCAAGCTGACATTAATACAGACAAAATAGAGTTCTACATGAACCTGCTTTGGGCTCAGGCTGGGACCTCCCCCAGACAAACAGGAGACCCCAAAGCAGGTCCCAGTGGCAGGTTCACTCCGTGTTCCCTGTGTACCCCAGAGCTGGTATCACTTCTACAT